GCCTCCGACCCAACAATATCTACCAAATTACCAACCAAACGATTCAAAATAAGCCTTAGGAATCATCCACGATTGCAAAAGATTCAATTTAGATTATTATTGAAAAAGTCAACAAAAGTCAACTCCCGAGCTCGCTTGGTCCAAACTCGAAATTCGGACCAAAACCCGATTACCCATTCACCCCCGAGCCCGGTTATGTAATTTGTTTTGGAATCCGACCTCAATTTGAGGTCTAAATCCCAATTTCTCATAATCCCTAATTCTACCCAGACCCCCAATTTCCACCATGGAAACACTAGGTATTAGGTTAAAAACTTGTGAAATGTAGTGAAAGATTGAAAGAAAATGGGTTAGAATCACTTAGCAATGATTTGGGGAAGAAAGGTTCTTTGAAAAATCACCTCTAGGGTTTCTAAGTTTGAAAATTTGAAGAATGAGCCAAAAATCCCGTCTAAATCCCATTTGATCAGTTGCGGGTGTCGCATTTGCGACTTGGGGTTCGCAAATGCGAGCCCTGCAAATGTGAAGGTTTCACATCCCTGCTTTCATCGCATTTGCGATGAATTGTCCTCAAATGCGAACACTGACCCTTCCGCAATTGCGACCACTTGATCGCATTTGCGATAACTGCCCCCTCCCGAGTCACTTCGCAAATGTGAACTCAATGTGGCCAAGCTACTCTTCGTAATTTCGATGAGTTGCTCGCAAGTGCGAACCCCTCAGAGGTCACAAATGCGAGATCAGAGGCCTGCACCAGAACTTAAACACCAGCAACATTTCTAAGTCGAATTTTCACTTCGTAGCCTATCCAAAACTCACTCGAGCCCTCGGGGCTCCAAACCAAACATGCACACAAGTCTAAAAACATCATACGAACTTGCTCGCGCGATTAAATCGCCAAAATAACATCTAGAACTACGAATTGAGCACCAAATCAATTGAAGTTTTCATGAAAACTTTGAAACTTCTATTTTCACAACCGGACATTCGAATCACGTCGAACCAACTCCGTTTCTCACCAATTTCACAGACAAGTCATAAATATAGTATTGGACCTATACCGGGTTCCGAAACTAAAATACGGACCCGATATCCAAAAAGTCAACCATTGGTTAAACATTTCAAATTCATTAAGCCTTTAACTTTCAAATTTCAACAAAGTCCGATAACTCGGGCTAGGGACTTTCGAATTCAATTCCGGACACACTTCCAAATCTCAAATCACGATACGGACCCACCGGGAGCGTCAAAATACGAATCCGGACCCGTTTGCTCAAAATGTCGACCGAAGTCAACTCAAATGGTTTTCAAAGCAAAAACAATTTTATATTTTTCACAGTTTTTAACATAAAAACTTATCGGAACAAGCTCGACTACGCACGCAAATCGAGGAGGATTAAAATGTGGTTTTTAAAGATTCAAAACACGGAATTAGGTTTTCAAACATAAGATGACCTATCGGGTCATCACAATTATAACCCCTTTTGATTCAAGTGTTCACTTATTTCTTGTACAAAGTGACAATGATGTGATAAATCAAAAGGAATATGCTAGCTTAATTGGAAGCTTGAGATATGTAACTGGTTGTACTCGGCCTGATATTGCATACGCAGTAGGAGTACTTAGCAGGTTTATAAGCAAGCCAGGTAATGAACATTGGCATGCCATAACAAGAGTTGTGAGGTATTTGCTTGGTACAAAAACCTATGGCTTATTTTACAAAAATATATCCTGATGTACTCGAAGGCTTTTCTAATGCAGATTGGAACACTTTATATGGTGATTCCTATTCTACTACAGGTTATATTTTTACTTTGGGAGGTGGTGCTATTTGTTGGAAATCAAAAAAGTAAACAATAATTGCTAACTCTACCATGGAGGCTGAGCTAATTGCTTTAGCTTCAGCTAGTGAGGAAGCGAATTGGTTGAGAGATTCATTATTTTAAATTCCTTATTTTGAAAAACCAATTCCTCCTATTTTGATTCATTGTGATAGCACTGCTGCAATTCGTAGAGTACAAAACCATTATTACAACGGTAAATCCAGACCTATAAGGAAAAAATACAATACTATGAGATCATATTTGACAAGTGGTACCATTAATGTTGATTATGTTAAATCTTGTGATAATCTTGCAGATCCACTGACTAAGGCCTTAGCAAGAGAAAGGGTCTGGAGCACATCGAGGGGGATGGGATTGAAGCCCATAAACTCATAAGTCATATATGAGGAAACCCAACCTGGAGACTAGAGATCCTATAACCAGGTTTAATGGGAAGAACGAATCAAATGATGGCTTGGTTTGAAATGCACTAATTTTATTTTTGTTCCATCCCTAAGGTGTGAGTGCATTTATCCTATAGTGGTTTGCGAGGTTGAGTTTTATTAACTCTTAATGAAAATCTGTAGCTCGTATGAGTGGGGTGTTAGAGTTACAAGAGCACCCTTGACGGATTTTACCTGTGTGAGTGTGGAAGTAGGTCGCTTCCTATGAGAATTGCGCTTGTTCTCAAAAACACTCAAGAAAATCGGGATAGCACAAGGCCGTAATGTGCTGGCTAATAAAGCTCATGTCAATACCTTGATTATCATGTGTAAGCAGTGATAATTTATTTCCCTAAAGCAGTCATAGCTCAAGTCTGAGACCACTACTGACTCTGGAGTCTGGAGTAAAGATCGTTGTTTTGCTAAGTGGAGGTTCAATGCAGAACACACCTTCATTATGCATAATAGTCTCCTTCAACCGGTAAACTCTCTTATATATTTTAATATTAAAATGAATGGGGGAATGTTAGTATTTTAGCATTTTAATATTAAAATAAAATATGCCATAACTCCCACTACTCCATGATGTAGAAAATGACTATAACTCCAATAACACCCACTACCCCATGATGTAGAAAATGGTCATAACTCTTTTGTAACTCTTCTATCACTAATTACACACTAATTATCCCATGTTCTCCATGATTTCATAACTTATTGCCCCACTTTCTTCCAATTTAATTCAAGGAAGAATTCCTACACCTATAAATAGGAGTCATTCTTCCCTAATGTGGGATGAAAAACTAATTGTAGAGTGTTTCAATAAAGTGAGGTTAAAGTTGTGGGGAAAAAAAGAAGAGAGTTTTTATTTTTGTTGAAGGAAGGTGTTCATCTTGGTGGAGCTTTGGACTCAACAACTTGTCCAGAGTTTGTTCGAGTCATACAACGTGATTGGGCTGTTGTATCTTGGGGAGACAAGTCAAGGGGTATACTGCTGGACTAGTGAAGACTTTGTTGCGGTGGGATTGAATCTCCTTAAAGATAGCGAGATATCCGCGCCTCAACCTTAAGATATTTTCTTCATTTTATTTTTCAGTCGTAATTGTATTTTCACCAACATTTACAAATTCACAAGAAATTGTAGCGGCCATGACCAGATTTGAAAGCCCTAGTCAAAAATAGTTTTGGGCTTTGCCCTCCTAGTGCTTTATGCATAGATAGTGTGAAAAAGATTTACAATTAGATTACTTAAAAGGTAATTGTATGTAATTCTCTATACCAAATTAATTTGTAATCTTATAAAATGAAAAGAAATCTTCTATAAAATACCACTCTACCTCTAGCATAATAAATAGGAATATGAATATGTTCTTCTATCCAAATCACTACTGTAATAGTTACATTAAATCTACAACAAGTACATACTATATAATACTTGCTGTATTTTTGTACATGTTGTCATAAGTTTAAAAAAGAACAAGAAAAATATTACATGCTGACTTAGTCAATATTTGTTGCTTGCATGCAATTATTAATTATAACGTAAGGATTACAATACACAGATTAAATAGGGATGATTATTTAATGGAGATACCATTTTTTGTAGATGCTTAGTTTATTCTACTAAAAATGAGAATATGAGGTATAATATAAAATATGTGGTGTTTTATTTAAATTAGTTAAATTTGGATAAGCTTTATTTCTAAGTTTAGCATTCGATTCTTAAGAGAGTTTGGGAGAAAAGCTTTGTAGAAGGACAAATTCATCTTTTAGTTGTTGTATCCCATAATTAGTAATGCGGAGATTGTTACCCCTCATAGAGTGTGATATAATAATTATGATACACACAATTTCGGAATTAATTTTTTTTACTTCACATATTTTACTCCGTGATTATAATATCTTATTTTTGTAAAAAGCAAAAAAGAGAAAAGGAAGATATTTTGCCTCTTTTTTTAAGTACAAATATAGGAACAGAGGCAACCCGGTATAATTATTTAAGAACACATTCAATTTGAATTCTTTTACCTTATTTAACAATAATTTAGTTTTAGAAGTAATTTCGTAATTAAAATTCCTCTTTGTGACTAAACAAGACAATGCTCTCTTTTTTCTTTTCTTTTTTGAAAATAACCAAATTTTGATTTTAAAGTTTACTAAGTATTAACTGAATGAACCTACTTATTATTATCTCTATAAAGATTCTAGAAAGATTTCGAAGTTCAAATCTCTTATATCTTTCAATCCAAGTCAAATGAGGAAAATACTCGTAGGGAATTAATCCAAACTGAATTAGGAAATCTTTACCGTGAAGGCAGAAGGTTCTAATTTTGTGAAATAAAGGAAAAAAATAATTGGAATGGAATATTGAAATCCTAACTTTTCACTAATCCTACTTTAACTCAATTAAGGAAGTACCTTCACAACCTATATAACTACTAAGTTGGAACGAAAAAGAAAATACTATATTTTACCTAAATTAATCTCATCATTCGGCACTCAATTTCATCGTTTTTGTTTAATGCATAAATTCATGAGATGAAAAGGTTGAGATTATCATCATCAATGTCTCATATTCAGCTATTAAACATCATGCGTTTTCAGCCAAATTTGTCGTTAGTTATGGATTCTTTCTCGGCTGCAATCGAAGCATTCTCTGAACACCCGCTTTGATCTTTTTTCCACGTCACACACTCTGGTTTTTTGTTTTCTTCTAGTCCGAGTTTAAGCTACGATGGATTACGGGTCACGCAGAGTTGAAGAGAAATCTCCATGTGGTAGGTTCGTTAGATACAGTGACGTGTTAGGTGAAGGCGCTTTTAAAGAGGTGTACCTAGGGTTTGATCAAGTTCAAAACATTGAAATTGCGTGGAACCAAATAAGTTTTCATGGAGAAGATGGTAAAGCATTATTAAAAACACCAGAAAAGTTGTTCTCTGAGGCTGTTCTATTGCAATCTTTAAACCATGAGAGGGTTATGAAGTGCCTCTCTTACTGGTTTGATTCCGAGGCAAAAACTCTAAACATGATCACAGAATTATTTCCTTCAGGCAGTTTGACAAAGTATATGTTAAAAGGTAATAATGGGAGTGGTGTTGATTTGAGGAAGATCAAGAACTGGGGTAGGCAGATTCTTGAAGGTTTGAGCTTTCTTCACGGACAGAACCCGAAGATCATTCATAGAGACATCAAGTGTGACAATATTTTTGTTCAGAGTGGTGGGAAACAGGTTAAGCTTGGAGATTTTGGTTTGGCGATTCGTCTTATGGAGGGTGATTTCGGCACAGAGGTTAAGGGAACGCCTCAATTCATGGCTCCTGAGCTCTACGATGGTGAATACAATGAACTGGTGGATATATATGCATTCGGGATGTGTCTTCTTGAGATGGTTACAGGTGAATATCCATATAAGGAATGCAACAATCAAGGGCAAATACTTAGGAAAGTGTATATCACTGGTGAAAAACCTGCATCTCTTGGAAAGGTACAAGACTCGAGAGTGAAGTATATCATCGAGAAGTGTTTACTTCCCATGTCTGTTAGGCCATCAGCAGACGAGTTGCTGGAAGATCCATTCTTTCTGTACAATGGTGGATCATCAACAATGGAGGCTTGTGCTCCTACTGCCAGTTTTGTAGTTAGTCATCCTTTCAGGGGAATACAGTGTTAGATTCTTTTACAAACATTTTATCTTGGAGAAAGTTACTACAGATTCTAAACTTCTATTAGATAGTTCTTGTATTTCCTTAGATTTGGTGTTGTTTAGTTACCAAGACCTTCTATAGTTGGGGCTGCATGTCCAACTATAGAATGATAGTGAAGGGTATCTGTTATACTTGTACATATTTTCACTGGCAATAAAAATTTAAATTACCAAAAAAGAATTAAGTTACCTTGTTGATGGATATTGACATGAATCTCTACCTGCACATGAAATAAGAACTTAATACTGTTGACGACATAATATAATTAAGGTAATTAAAAGACTGTTCCCTTTAACAGTTTAAACTTTTAAATGAGACGGTGACACATTTCAATAAGTAACACGTCATCAGCGACATAGTACTTATACATAACTGCAGCATAATTTTTTGCATGCTCTGGAATATAACATATGACTGTCGTAGAACACGTCATATGTAGTAGCATGGAGTGCAATGGACAACCTGTACAAAGTAACATAAACAAGAGGGTGAGACACCACAGCGAATGAATCAAACTAACTGGTAAGGGCATTTAATGTAAAGCCATGAATTCTAATAACTAAATGAATTCATCATTTATGTTACGGTGCTTACAAAGAATAACACCCACCATGACCACTCTAAAAGAGGGGACAAAGAAAAAGAAAAGGCATAGAATTTTTGCCGCAAGCATATAATTGCTCCATCAAGCAGGAATATATATTCCTTTTTTTATCCTTCTGATATTTTAGATAGAAAATAAACCATGCAAAGCTCAACTCGTTTTTGGGAATCGTTATCAGATTCTGATTTACAGATTAAAAGAGGGTGTTTAGAATGATAATAGAGCAGCAGCTGAGATAGATAAGAAAATCAACAAAATAATCTGAAAGATAAAGGAACAACTTATACCAACACATGGGGATTCGCAATCACCACTTCCCGCTCCTATTTGAAGGTTGTTATTGGGTCGACAACAGCAATTTCCAACTTAACTGACCAATGTAAATGCAAAGTGAAACCAGGTTACTGTTGATAGTGCAAATTAAGACTTTAGAAAAATTAAAAGAACCAACCCAAAATGTACCTTATCTCCATAAGAGTTTGAGCCAACTTTGCCCTAACATCTGCTCTAACATGGGCCAGTTCATTTGCTCAACTGGCCCATGTCAATGCATGTGATCTTCCACTTCAAGTATGCTTGTAGAAGAAGTACCACTGAATCTTTCTAAAGGAATCTCAGCTTTGCAATTTTCCATCAACTTCACGCATAAGCAACACAGAATTATCAAGCACACGTCTGCTTTCATAGATGATAGACCGGAACAATTCATGCTTAGGTTTTGGTTTATAGGAGCGCAGTTCGACAAGGGGATTTTTGATCTCCGATCTCTTGTACAACTCCTTCGCCGGCTGGACGTGCTTCCACCAAAAGTCAGAAAGTGCAATCTTCAAGAGTTCCCAATATTCTTCGTCACGATGCAACCTAAACAAACTGCTTCCTTTTGTAGTCCAAACATAAAAGTCCATCCAATCTCGATCCAATATTTCCATTAAACCCTGAGCTTGTGGAACATAGTAAATGGGAATTCTTTTCCAAGGAGTTGCAGCACTCATATCACCTTTGAAGAAAGGGCACTTGATCTCCAGAACCCCTCTGGATGGCAAATGATAAACAAACCTGTCAACTACACCGTCGGCGGAAGCAGCAAGCCAGTCATCCTCCATCTTCGTTTCCCGATACACCTGAAAATCAGTAAAAGAAACAGGATTTCCAGCTATCAGCTTATATCTCTCAAGAGCCTCCTCTTCTTTGATGTTACTCCAACACGTAGCTAAATTACCCAAGAAGGGTTCAATCGCCCCGATTTTCTCCAACCAGAGTTGGGGTCTGCGATTAGGGAAAAAACCAACAGCTTGACCAAAAGTGCTTGCTGTAAGTTTATTCTTTCTCAATTCTTGCCAATTCTTGAACCAATGCTGAAGACCACAGGACTGAAGAATTGGATGAGGGTTGTGTGAGGGAAATCTCGCAGCACTACTGCTGCTGTACCCTCTTCCATACCTAGGAATTTGAAAAAGAGAGACTGCTATCTTCTTAATTTTGCTATAGTACTTCTCATTTGATGAACATCCTAAATGGGAGGGAAGAGAAGCAGGACTTTTTACGGGACCTTAACCAAACAAATCAACAAGGATATAAGCAAGAGTTGCTTACTGTTTGTTTTGGCCAGCAGGCTTCTGACGCAAAAAATCGTGTACAAATGAGCCAACATTTTCACACAGTGCCTCATCTTGGAAACTAACCTGCAAACAGTGTTTCAGGGAAAAGCATCAAGACTTGCATTCCAGCAGTCACGAAAAATTTTATTTTGTGCCTCACACAACTGACACTAGTTGTGTGAGACCTCTTTTTTGTCTCACAACGGTGTGGGTCCCAGAATTTTATTGACCCAGATGTGTAAGATATGGGTCCACAAATATGTGAGATAAAAAATGGCCTCACACAACTAGCGTCAGTTGTGTGAGGCACAAAATAAAATCACTCAGTAGTCACTATCTAATGAAGCTTAAGAATCTTTGATGAAGAAGAGAAAGAGGCAAGTGTACCTTCCCAATTCCTACATGCACAATTGCAGTTTTGACTTTTTTGAAAGGTACACCTCGCTTTGCTTCTTTCACTGCTTTTGTGATATCTTTGGTAATGGTACCTTTCTGCATGCATAAATTATGACGAAATAAGCAAGAATTCATAAAGAACAACTTGAATTAAGAGCAGAAAGATGCATATTACTTTAGTATCTGGCATCAATTGTCTCAAGTACTTGGCCATCTGCAAAAGCGTGTGATGTTACTCGCTGAGAAGCACTAAAAGCACATTCATACCCCCCCCCCCCCCCAAATCCGTTCAACATTTACGGGTCGTTTGATAGGCCATATTAGGCTATTAGCATCAAACTATATAGGCACTAACATTGAAATTACTATTAGGCAGTTGGTTGACAATTGAATCTTGCATCATGCATCATGGACCTTACTATTTACATATAGTGAGATAAATGCATACTAGGCTATGCTTACTAATTCAACCCTCCACCCCCTCCATCCTGCTCTAATCTCTTCCCGGCCCACCTTCACATCCATATTTAAGTAAAAAAGATTAATTCATGTATACTTTTCTTTACAGTAATGCTTCCGCATAACTTCTTCAATAATATTTCATAATTAAAATAATTTTAGGATAAGGCGAATGTCAATCACTAGGCAAAAACTATTCTTGATGCAAACATTAATTACATTGTCAATCCCTCCCCCAAATTCTTGGCCAAATATAAAATATAGAAAGCCGACAATACAATCTAATCCTATTTGTCCACATAACAATCACAACTAATAAACTTCCTTAAGTATCCTGTTACTTCTATTTTAGAAATCTTTCCGTCTAACTAGTTTTTTGCGGTATTCAAACATCAAATCTCCATTTCATTAACTTCTATTCACCTGTCTGTTTAAACCACGAGACACTCTTCTTCAGTTATTCTGTTTCTGTCCTCTTTTTCATTTCGTCTTTTCCTCCTTTCTTCTTATTCTTTCCTTTTTTTCACCGCCGCCTATTACTGAACAGGTGCTGCAACCCCCCCAAACTTTTGAAGCAATCTTCAACGCCACCCCAACCCCCTTTTAGTACTCTGTTACACAGTAACTCTTTCTTTTTTTAAAACAACGAACTCTGTTGCACAGTAACTTCAGCTTTTCCTTTTTCTACTCCTTTCACCGTTCAAGACGACTACTCCCATATAGCTCTCAGTCTTTTTTTTCTTTTCACCAGTATGCACCCCTTGTTCCGAATTGGCAATCTTAATTCGGGATTACAGCACATTGGTTGAAACAAATAAAGATTTAACCTTTACACAAGCTGCATGGCCCCTTAAGATCATAAACAACCTTTATGTTCTTGTTTTTGTCACTCTTCCCGTTAAACAAAGTTGGAAATGGAACTTTTCTTCTCTTCTTTTTCAATTCATATTATCCAATTACTTACTTTACAAGGAGTCACAATTTTATACCAGAAACAACAAAATGCTAGTAATAAGAATTCATGTAACCGACCCTAACTAATTTGAGAAAAAGATCTGACCTTTACAAGCCGACCGGCTTCTTTAAGATCATAAACAACTTTTTTCTTCTTTTCATCACTGCTCTTCACGTTAAGCAATGTTGGAAAAGGAACCATTTCCTCTTAAACATTCAAAACTCTCCTCATTGCCGCCCTTTTTTGCGCCTCGATTCTTCTCCTCTTTCTCTCGAGCTCCTCATCACCCTTAGCTTCCATTCCCCCCTCCTCTTCAACCCGTTCCTCAGGTAACGGAGCGACTCGGGTCGTGTAAGAAACCGGAGTTATTTTTGGTACATCCTTCAAGTACCGGAGATCTTCCCGTGTCCACGTCTTACCATCGGTGTTACCCGGGTCTTGGGTATTCGACTCGGGTCGGGTAGAAGCTTGAAATGTGGTTTCTGTAGATGGGGTTTCCGGAGGATCCTTGGGTTTGTGTGAAACGGGTTGGACTGGAATCGGGTTTTCAGGGGATTCTGGTTGTGATTGGGATGATGAAGAGGAGAGGAATTGGTGGAAATGAGAGCGGAGAAGAGGAGAAAAGTAAGATTGGGTTTTGTAGGAGCAGTGACGGCGAGCTTGATGGAGCAGTTCGAAGGACGCCATTGGAGTTTTTGGGTGCTTTTACAGTGAAGCTGAACCGATGGAAAGGGTTTTAGTTTTGGGGAAGACGAGGGTTTTAGCCATTTTTCAGCCTTCTTCTTTTTGCTCCTATTTTTTTTTTTTTTTTTTTTTTTTTCCTTTTTCTTTTTTCTTGGGGAGAATTGACAAGAATGAAAATTGAAAAAATGAAAATATGAAGAGAGGATGAAGTGGAAAAACGTTAGAAAATACCTCGCGCTCCTTTTGAAGCCCTTACAAAAGTACTTCTATTATAAAGCAATAAAGCAATAAATTATTTTCATCTTTATAAAATTTACCAAGGGCTATAGTTATAGTGATCCTGCTATTCAACTATTTCGACTATTTTCGAGCAACTTATATCTTTTTTGAAAAGTTTGAAGATTTGATCATTAGGACGGAAGTTTGAGCTTATTGCAAGTGATTAAAGAATATGATCAATTGTTTGCAATAATTGTTTCTTCTTCCCAACTATAACCAACACAATGCAGTAAATAAATCGAATTAATATAATTAACATTAACACCAATACATAAATGAGAGATGAGAGGTATATTTCTTTGTTTGGGTTTGGGAGGGTAGGTGTGGGGTGTGCATAATACAAGGGGAGAAATTCAAAAATAGCCAGATTTACTACTGGTCGTTGAAAAATAACCAAGTTTCAAAAGTCATCGAAATTTAGCCACTTTAAATCTGAGCGAAAACACTGTTCAAAATCCGGAAAATACGCCGCTAAATTTTATGGGAGTTCCAGCATAAGTGTGCTTGAACTCCCGTAAATTTTACGGGAGTTCCAGGATAACTATGCTGGAACTCCCGCAAATTTTACGGGAGTTCAAGCATAATTATGCTGGAACTCCCGCAAATTTTAAGGGAGTTCCAGCAAGTATAATTGTCCAGTATAATATACTGGAGTTTGGAGCACTGGTGCTCCAGTCTCCCGCAAATTTTACAGGAGTTAGCAAAGTATACCGGTCCAGCATAATATGCTGGAGTTCGTACATAAATGCACCAGAACTCCCGTATATTATACTGGACCGGTCCCTGTTGCAGCAAAATAGTGGCTATTTTTCATTGACTTGATAAACGCTGGCTATTTTTCATTGACCAGTGTGAAAACTGGCTATACCATGATATTTTAACTACAACAAGGGGTGTCAATTGTTCGATTCGGCTGATTAATTTATAAAGTTTATACCAGACTAATTTTTTGGTTACTATATTTTACATAACCAAAATTAGATTTTCTGAAATCGTCCCAATCATCTCTATTTCTTCGGTATTGGTACGTATAGTAGTATTAGTTAGAAACTTTAGCAAAACTCTTTAGACATTGTTAATGTTTAAAAAGTGATGAATCAAAGGAAAATAAAAAATGACCAAAATAGATATCTATTTCACTATTTTACACCAATGTAAATAAATTAAGCAAAGACATAAGAAAATAAATTACACGAGTGAGAAGATATTAATCACGTTGAGACTTAAGAATAAAGCCTGTTAGAAGATTAAGCATACAAGAGAAATCTAAATCATATGAGAGGAAAGATATCCAATACGTTGTGACTTTGCACTCAAGATATTGAAACTAATTTAATATAGGGGTAGCAAAATATATTTGAGAGTTGGACTTGATTGTTAATTACCTGTTAGTTTGTAGTCGTTTTCATAATCACAAGGCACGAGGGAAAAAAATTATTGCTTAAACTTAATATATGTCATGTATAAATTTATTAGGTACCATTCGGTATTTTTTCGATTTATTTTTATAAATAAAATCTATCCTAATTATTCGGTATGGTTAAATAATCATATTAAAAGAAATTTAATAATCAGTCGATTTGGTTGTAAATTTAGGCGGGTTTTTAAGACACATTAACACGTCATCAATAGGCACTCCATGCATAGAGGTTATCTTGCACTTAGTTTTCCCAGTTCACTAATCCAAACTTTCTTCGATAAGGTCCTAAAAGTTCCACATAATTGGACCAACTTTCTTCGATAAGTTCCTGCAACATGACCTTTTACAAAATAAAACACATTTTAAAAACAATGTCAAATTCCAAGATTTTTAAAATATGTCTAAGCACTGGTTCAATGAGTCTCTCAATTGTAAATAGTACATGTACGTTTCACAAAACTACTCCTCGGCCTGAAACATGTTTAAATCGGCTACATGAATCCTCATTGACTTACATATACATTGAAATAGTAAAAATTAGAATCTATAAACCAAGCCACTGCATCTAATCCCATAAATGGCTGAACGTGTTAGGATTTTTAACAAGAGAAAATATAATAACTTAGAATTTTCTTTCTCTACTGATTGTTTCTTGGTGTGGTCACAATCATTTGAACTCCCTAGAAAAGAAAAATCTTGTAATCATAAAACAGAAGACATGCTTATTTCTTTTAACTGAAAAATACAAATGTGAGGCAACAGCGATGAGTTTTGGGTTGGGTGGTTTGAAGAAGGGAGAGGGAAAGATCATTACATTAATGGGCAGAAATAAAATAACTTGGAAAAATCCCTTAAAAAAAAGAGCAGCATAATGCACTAAGCTCCCGCTATGGACAGAGTCTGGGAAGGGCCGGATCACAAGGGTCTATTGCGTTTATGCAAGAGGCTGTGGCTGTTTCCACGGCCTGAACCCGTGACCTCCTTGGAAAAATCCCTTTTATGTGGGGAAAATCAAGAAATCTAAACAAATTACAGTACGGTACCAAGTTACAATTGGATCCACTAAGACTGTCAAGTTAAAAATGGATCTATTCAGATACTATAATTGAAGATACTTCCTTGCATGGCGGTCTGCTGCAATCGATAATGACTGTATTGACACAGGGAAAGATGGACCCATCTGCAGATTTCAACCATCATTATGCAATTAGAATCTTGATCAATGAATTATGCATGAAATTCTAAACATGAAACAATCAGCAGGTACGGAAAGGATAGACATATTCAAGCATATTAATGTTGTAATGTACCCCAGATATGAAAATGGTTAACGGGTACCAAAGTGTAGAACTAGAGATTCTTAAGATTCGAAGTTCTGAGGACGAAAATTTTCAGTGTGCTACTTACTGTGCTAGTCTCACCCAAACATGGGATGTTGTATATTCAGAAACAGCAAATTATTCTGTGTCATAGTCTTTTGCTTGAGGTAAAATCAGAGAAATGCATGCAAAGAACAAGAGGATTCCACGTCTCCTTTATGATTCCCTAACGATAAACAGCATATTGGCCAATCTGACCGTGACAGGGATGTACCCATAAAGACGGCACATAATATTTGAATGAAACTATGAAGCAGATCATACTACCTAAAATTACGCAGTGAGCATTCCTTCCTCTTAAAACGAAGCTGCAGTACTGCATGCCCATAGACTTTTATGTATTTAGTGAGGGGCCTTTGTAAGCCATACTTATACTCAAGTAACGTCATGATTAAGGAGCCAAAGCAGGAACTCTCAAACATCATGTCTCCCTCAAACGGAAGAGCAACAAAGGGTATATCAAGAGGCAATATTTGAAAGGTTCTTGTCTGTTATCTCACATTTCTATTTTTGAGTTTATATATGTACTTAGAAAGATTCCTGTCAGGCATCAGATTTACGAAGAATGTAAGTCAAGAGCTTACCGTACTGCATATATGGACTGTATTCACATAACCAGCATATTTTGAGCCTGCATTAAAGATTTTTAAAAAAGTTGTTACCTACGGATGTAGATGACACCCATATGTGTATAATAAATGTATTCTTCCAGAAAGGGGGAAAATTTTTGGTTGACCAGAAAGTCACATTCCTTTTCTGACAACTAATAAATCCTAAATGGGAGGGGAAGAGGGCGGTAAAGCAGGATTTTTCACTGGACCTTAACCAAACAAATCGATAAGGATATAATCAAGAGTTGCTTACTCTTTTTTAAGCCAGCAGGCTTCTGACGCAAAAGTTCGTGTACAAATGCACCAACGTTTTCACACAGTGCCTCATCTTGAAAACTTACCTGCAAAAAATGTTTCGCGGAGAAAGCGTCAGGAGGTGCATTCCAGTAGTCTATGTACTTAATGAAGCTTAAGAATCTCTGATGAAGAAGAGAAAGAGGCAAGTGTACCTTCCCAATTCCTACATGCACAATTGCAGTTTTGTCTTTTTTGAAAGGTACACCTTGCTTTGCTTCTTTCACTGCCTTTGTGATATCTTTGGTAACAGTACCTTTCTGCATGCATTATGACAAAATAAGCACTAACTCGTTAAAAACAACTTGAATTAAGAGCAGAAAGATGCATATTACTTACTTTAGTATCTGGCATCAATTGTCTCAAGTACTTGGCAATCTGCAAAAGCGTGTGACGTTACTCACTGTGAAGCACTAAAAGCACATTTATATTTTCCCACTCCTCTTTATCCGCTCAACATTGACGGGTCGTTTGATAGGTCATTATAGCATCAAACTACACAGGCACTAACATTGAAATTAAAGGATTGCAATAGACCTTGTTACTATTAGGCGATTGGTTGAAAATTGAGCCTTGTTTCATGCCTATCTATATATACCATCTATGAGATAAATGCATATTAGGCTGTTTAAATAATTCAACCCTCCATCCGTTCCGTCCCGCTCTAACCCCTTCCCAACCCACCTTTACCTCCATCTTTAACTAAAAAGATTAATTCATGTATAATTTTCTTTTACAGTAATTCTTCCGCACAACTTCTTCAATAACACTTCATAACTAAAATAATTTTAGGACAAAGAGAATTTAATCACTAGGCAAAAACTATTCTTTATACAAACATTAATAATATTGTCAATCCTTCCTCCAATTTCTTGACCAAATACAAGATATAGAAAGCCTACAATACAATCAAACATCCTAATTATCCTTGTCCGTCCACATATCAATCATAACGAATAAATTGCCCCAAGAATCCTTTTATTTTTATTTTAGAAATCTTTCCCATCTAAATAGTTTTTCTGGTATTCAAACATCAAATCTCCATTTCATTAACTTCGATTCACATGTCTGTTTAAAAACTTTTGACGATAAAAAGTAGTTACTCTTTTTTCCTTTCATTTTCACTTTCCTCGCTTGTCTTCTTCTGCTTCCTCTTCGCAGCCACCATGGAACCACCTCACCACGAGACACTATTCCTTAGTTATTCTGTTTCTCTCCTCTTCATTTCGTCTTTTCCTCCTATTCTTTTCAACACCACCTATTACTGAGTAGGTTCCGCAACCCTCCCAAACTTTTGAAACAATTCTCTCTCTCCCCCCCCCCCCCC